ATTATGTAGCAGGAATGGCGTCTCTCTTCAGTAGAAACGTGGTCCTGCACTCGAGCCGGAGTTACAGGCCGATGCAGCTCAATGTGCTCTAAAGGATGTTCTAAAGAAATAACAGGAAAAATAACATTTAATGCCCCTATAAACCAAAAACACTGTGAATCAGGGAAAAGCTTAAAACAGCAAAACAGTGTAACTACAAAGTCAATAATCAGCAATGTTTTTGCATTTTCTAACACAGTAAAAGTGTGATTTCCAGGAGTTGGTACAGGTCACCACTTCTTGGGAGAAAAAAATAAACAAACTACAAATTCCTGGTTGTCTAATTGTTACAGCGACAGTGTCAGCAGTATGTGACAGAAATAATACACCTGTAAACCTCACAGTTACATACCAGACAGAGAATCACAGATCTAAGGCATTATGCTATGTCTTGAGCATCTTAAGGTACTTACATGAATTACAGTGTGTTGCAGTTGATAAAATATACATCTATGAATCAAGAACAAATCTTCAGTATGTCTCAAAATCAAGAAAATCATTCGCTTTCATGTACAACGTCAGGAGTTACTGTGTGCGAGCGCTAACAGTTTGACATTCAGAAAATCTCCATGGCTTACATTTTTATCTTAGAGTTTGATATCTTTGGGATTTTACAACCTGCTAGAAAACTGGAGGATAATTTACTGCAGTAGAAGTTGGAAGGAAAATATGCAGTGTTTCATTTTGCACTCATCTTCTTCATCTTTACAGTTTGTGTTTAACAGATTTAACCTAAAGGAGATTCAAGAAATACACGTTGCCAGTTACAGTCAGTTTTGTTCACAACTACAAGCTTAAATGTGTGAGAAGCACCTACCAAAGAGCACCTTTCAGACCGCTTCAGGCCAAACTATTCCTGAATGCTCCAGTGTGTAACAATCCATAGAAATGTGGATTGTAATGGTTCTGAGCGAAAAGAGAGATTTCATTTATCACTGCGTGTTTACAAGAGTCAAGTCAGGAGTTCTCCTCATTCAGTATCAGCACATAGAAACTGCTGCAGCCACACAAAGACCAACAGGACAAACAGCACACGTCTGAATTGTCCTTTAGCGTCTGAATGGTCCTTTAGCGTCTGAATTGTCCTTTAGCGTGGCGACAGCTTCAGCCTGACAGCGAACAGCGACTCCTGCAGGCCTGTACATCGCAGCGTGAAGTGGCAGCAGCATGGAGTTGTATTAGTTTTGCACACGTTGTTGTTTTCGGAGGCAAAGCTGCTTCGATGGCAGAAATAATCTCAGTGGTTAAATCTCAGCGGACAACAAGACTCCTGGTCTGAAAGTCGGTAAAACAAGACCGAAGACGTTGCTCACGGTACTGCTGACACGCTGATGTCCAACCCATGTTCGTTAAGGGTGTCATCATGCTAACATGTGCTAATGAGCTAAACAGGCATGCTAACAATGCTAGTGTTTATCTGCTGCAACGCTCAGTTCTTTAAAAAAAAGGCTGAAGACTTTTCAGTTTGCTTCTGCTTTTCATTAAACCAAATCTGAGGCTTCTGAGTATCTCAAACTAAACAATCACTTTTGTTTTCCATTTATCGGACTTTTTAATCTGTATTTAACTCTTTTGTGTTGAAATGCGTTTTAGATTTTGCGTTCTGGTTCCTTTCTCACAACTATTTCTTGATGCTTTTAATGTTTTAACTACTTTGAGTTGCCTTGTTAAAATTTGCTACAGAAATAAAATGGCCTCATCTAGCTTAGCATGTCAACATGCTAACCTTTGCTAATGAGCACTAAACAGCACATCTGAGGCTAAAAGTCTATACCAAATTTCATGGCAATAGATGTTTTATTCCTGGATAAAGAAGGACACTAAAATGGTTAAAAAGCGAGTGTTAAGGACGAAGCAAAAGCAAAACAGTAAAACAGGCGGCGTTTCCACTGCAGGACGTTCAGGAGGGTGTGAGGCGCCGTTTTCAGTTCTAAAACAAATACTGGCTGTTAGATGTACCTCACCTGGGAAACAGAACGATGGAGTTTTGTTAATGTGAGATTTACACTGTTGATGGCGATGCTACCTAACAGAGGTCTATAACGAGCTATATATCTATATCTATCTATCTATATATCTATATCTATCTATCTATATATCTATAACGAGTCAGCATCAAGTCCTGCAGAGCAGCTTTTCAGGGTCGCTCCAGCGTAGCAAACCTAAAGCAGGTATTTACTTTTCCTACCCCTGAACACAGCCTGAAAGAGGTTCTACACGTGGTTCCTGTCGTTGGAAAATGTAAAAAAGTGTCACGAAAACGGCCTGCATGTTCCTGCAGTGGAAAACAGCCTCATTAATACTGATACTGAACCAGGAAACTGATGCTAACTTAGCTAGGCTAGCTAGTTACCTCAGTTGAACTTCAATTCAAAATCTGTGCAGCAAAACAGCAAAAACCTGTTTAATTCCAGTAGAAAGGTCAGAACTGAACCTCCAGACCAGCTCGGACGTTGCAGGAACATGAAAACAAATCAGTATGAGATAGTTAAATAAGTTCTGTATTTGTCTTTCAGTTAAACAAATTAGCTGACTAATTAGCTCATTAGCGAGCCAGCTGATGCTTCATTTAACCAATGAAATATTTCTGCTCCCTGACAAATGTGTTTTGAACTAAACTCCAAACTGCTGCTTTACAATACCACTTAAGGAGAAAAGGGCATTAAAAACCTATGAACACTATCTGTACACATTCACCTTCATTCAAAAAGTCATTAAAGAGGCCGCTGGGCCCCAAAACTACAGCAGTTGAAATATATTAATTTTAAAATCGACATCAACACGTACCATTCTGAGAGATTTCCTTAAAGATAGATATCATTAATTTCTTTTAAGTGTCATACAAAGAATCTCTAAAACTTCTTCAAAACTTTAAATAAACTGTAAATATTTTTTCCATAAACTTTCTCATCTTCAGTCAGGCTCCAGGACAGAACCGTGAAAGATCCAATCCACAGGTTTCACTCTTCATCTTCACGTCTCCAGTGTCAAACTGTGACAGTTCAGTTTCACACACACAAAATAAAAAGTGTCTCTATCGTAAATCCACCACCTCAGAGCCTTCAGAGGATAAAACTGGGTGTTAAATACATTCATGTGACCGGAGCTCATTCTAACAGCAAACACTGTGCGAGTGTGTCCATGTAGAAGAACCCGGGCCTCGTAGCAACAGGTTCTACTGCAGCCAGTCCAATGACTAGAAGGTGCCACGTGTAGCATTCTGAACATACAGGACGAGGTTCTGGACTTACACCTGCTCCTACTTTTTATGTTTCCTTTTTTTACAATCTGTAAGTTTGGTTTGATTAGAAGAATAAGTGCTAATAACAGCTTGAACACATCCAGTGTGCTTTCATAAATGTCTGCACTGAAAGCCAGTTTGCAGAGTTTCAGGTAGAAACAAACACCTGCTACGTTCATGCTGCTGCTGAATGAGGCCACATAGAGATGATCAGGGCACAATTCTCTGTATTTTAAATGTGCTTCCTGTCTTACATCAAACAGCACTGATTGGTTCGCCAGAGCTGAGACACTGTAGCGATGAAGATGCTGTAATTAGTCTTGTTGCCAGAAGGGGGAGACAAAAGCTCCACACTGTAAGTTTGATGAAGATACACGCACCGGCCACTTTATTAGGTACACCTGTCCAACTGCTCGTTAACGCAAATTTCTAATCAGCCAATCATATGGCAGCTACTCGATGCATTTAGGCATGTGGACATGGTCAAGATGATCTGCTGCAGCTCAAACTGAGCAGCAGAATGGGTCAGAAAGGTGATTTAAGTGACTCTGAACGTGGCGTGGTTGTTCCAGACGGGCTGCTCTGAGTGTTTCACAAACTGCTGATCTACTGAGATTTTCACACACAACCATCTCCAGGGTTTACAGAGAACGGTCCGACAAAGAGAAAACATCCAGTGAGCGGTTCTGTGGGCGCTGTGGGCCTCGTTGATGCCAGAGGTCAGAGGAGAATGGCCAGACTGGTTGGAGCTGATAGAAAGGCAACAGGAACTCAAATAACCACTCGTTACAACCGAGGTTTGCAGAACAGCATCTCTGAACGCACAACACGTGGAACCTTGAGGCGGATGGGCTCCAGCAGCAGAAGACCACACCGGGTGCCTCTCCTGTCAGCTAAGAACAGGAAACTGAGGCTACAGTTCACACAGGCTCACCAAGTCTGGACAATAGAAGATTGGAAGAACGTTGTCTGGTCTGATGAGCCTGATTTCTGCTGCGACATTCAGATGGTCGGGTCAGAATTTAGTGTCAACAACATGAAAGCATGGATCCATCCTGCCTGGTATCAGCGGTCCAGGCTGGTGGTGTTATGGTGTGGGGGATATTTTCTTGGCACACTTTGGGCCTCTTGGTACCACCTGAGCATCGTGTCGACGCCACAGCCTACCTGAGTGCTGCTGCTGACCACGTCCATCCCTTTATGACCACAGTGGACCCATCTTCTGATGCTACTTCCAGCAGGATAACGCATCATGTCATAAAGCACCAATCATCTCAGACTGGTTTCTTGAACATGACAATGAGTTCACTGGACTCCAACGGCCTCCACAGTCACCAGATCTCAATCCAGTAGAACCTTTGAGATGTGGTGGAACAGGAGATTCACATCATGGACGTGCAGCCGACAAATCTGCAGCAACTGCGTGTTGCTATCATGTCAACATGGAGCAAAATCTCTGAGGAATGTTTACAGGACCTTGTTGAAACTATGCCACGAAGGATTAAGGCAGTTCTGAAGGCAAAAAGGGTTCAACCCGGTACTAGCAAGGTGTACCTAATAAAGTGGCCGGTGAGTGTAACGACACATCTTTTTGTTTTCAGACTAAAATTCTTGCACATGTCTTGATGGTTAATTATAATAATGTCTACAAATGAAACCTTGTTGGGGCCACTGATGATTACAAACTCTTACTTTGAAAGGAAGGACTGTTTAAACACAATGTCTTCAGACAGGCTGAATTTTAGGAGCATGTGAAGGGAAAGTGATTTTACCTTGAATAGGTTCATGTAATTTGTCCATTTCAAATGCTGCACAGAACACCTTTTAGCACGATTTGACTGGCTGTATTTGACTGTGTGTTATTTTGGAGCAGCCTTAACTTGATTGTTTAAATCTCATGTAGGATAAACACATAAAAAATAACATGAGATGAGTCATTAATAAGGATGAAAGCATGAGCTACAGTGAATAATAACATGTGTCCCTGAATCAGCAGAGGCACAGTATGTGTGTGTGATTATCTTCCTGTAGTGCATTTGCTGTCAGGATGGTTCAGATGGCAGCTTCCTGTCATTTCTGACTGTTTGCATAAAATGTGAAGCAGGAACTAAAAAGCTTTGCTGTGTCTCTGTTGTCCTCTGGCTCTCTGTAGTGCCTCACAGTTGGCTGGTGTGATAGAGCGGCAGTGTTTCCATCATCTCCTTCATACTTCTCAGTGAGCTGAGATGAGCAGGTGTCAGTGTTTCTGAACGGGTTCCTGCGTTACCTTGTCTCAGGAGCAGCACGGGTCAGCAGAAATTCTGCAGAAGACAAAATCAGAAGCCCAATAAGCACCAAGGGAACTTGAATCAAGCCTATTGTAACAGAAAATGCATGTGTGGTGGTTGGAGAACAGGGATTCATAGAAAGAAAAGGTGGAATAAATGTTGTAGTGACAGCACACTGAGCTGAAGTGTTGACTTAACGTTTGTCTTTATTTATTAAATGGCACATGTGCTTTGCTATATGACGGCTTTCTACCCGTTCCAGTCTGGAGGTTCCTGTACAGGGATCAAGCTGCATCTATTATTAAAACACAACCTGCAACCATCTGGCTGAGTTGGAATACTAAATGAAAAGGCCATCAAGTAAATGTGGGAACCACTGATGCGCTTCATGTCTGTTGCATCACATTGTGTGGAGCTACAGCTGAGAACTCGGTACTGAAGATCAGCATCACTTTACTCACAGAGCTGGCGTCACCGTCTTGTGTCAACATGTCAATTCCTGCAAGCTGCTCCAGGATCAGGCTGCTGTCGCTCACCTACAATGAAAGGTTAGAACAAAGACATAAAACTACTGCTTCTGAGTGATTGTTTTGGGATCCAGTCAAACAGAAATGGTGTGACTGTTTAAGCTCATCTGGGATCGTGTTTGTTGTTTTAACCTGCTCTGTATTCATGGAGCTCATCTGTCCTGACATGGGGTTCATGCTGCCTCCGCTGCCTGCCATGGCCACTCCCAGGTTCATGCTGTTGTTGCCACCGTACATGCCCCCATTGGGCTGTGTGGAGTACTGAGACTGGGACTGCTGGGGGTACACACTGGAAGAAGAGAGCGCAGTCACATCAGATCAGATCAAGCTTATTGTAATGTTGCTGTACATACACAGTAGTGCAGGCAAGATGAGAGAGCATTTCTTCAGGATCCAGAAACTTAAAGCAATTTAAATAAAGACGTGTTTGCATATCAGTCCAGCATTCTGACAGCCTGTGGAATGAAGCTGTTGATCATTCTGGAAGTTCTTCCTTTCAGTTTTCCTGACGGCAGCAGTTCAAACCGTATGGAGGGGGTGTGAGGAGTCTGACAATGTTCAGGGTCCTGTTCTTGGACAGAGGGGAAGGAAACTCCGATGACCCTCTCAGCTCCTCTAACTTTCCTCTGTAGGGCTTTCTGTCTGACATACTGCAGCTGGAGGACCATGTTGAGATGCAGGATGTCAGATTGATCTCCACCACACCTCTGTAGAAAGTCCTGATGATGCTGGCAGGAGAGAGGCTTGTTTCAGCTTCCTCAGGACATGCTGTCTCTGCTGGGACCGTTTGATGGTCGCTGTGGTGTTCTTATTCCAGCTCAGGTCCTGTGAGATCTTCGAGGAACTTGATGTTCTCCACTCTCTCCACTGTGCAGCCGCTGATGCTGAGGAGAGCACGCTCAGGACGGGACCTCCGGATGTCAATGATCATCTACTTGGTTTTGTCCATGCTAAGCAGCAGGTTGTTCTTATTGCACCAGCCCTCCAGGTGTGTCACTTCATCTCTGTACATTGATTCTTTGTTCTCGCAAATAAGTCCCACTTCTGTGGTATTATCAGCAAACATGATGATCTGGATCCCCGCATGTGTGGCTGCACAGTCGTGTGTTGGCAGCAGTGGACTGAGCACACTGCCTTGAGGAGATCCAGTACTCAGCGTGATGGAGTCAAAGAAAATGTAAAGCCTTCTCAAATAAGGACAAAGGATTTGAGGAATTGCTAAGCAGCTGTTACCTGTTGCTGGTGGAAATGTTGGCATGCTGAGGCCATCCGTTGAGGTCAGCAGTAGGCTGGTAGCTGGGGGGTCCTCCCTGGTTCGGACCCTGGGGTTGGGGCTGGCCCTGGTTCTGCTGCAGCATGGGGCTCTGACCCTGCCCCATCCTGGGGGACAGCAGGGGGCTCTGCGGGGTGGCAGCCCCACACGGGAAGCATGTAACTGGATCCTGGTGTTGCTGCTGCTGCTGCTGGCTCATTCCTGGAGGTTGGAGCAAATAAAAGGGTCATAAGGTGGACATACAGCGAGGATAACACGCTAACATTTAAAAACTAAGTGTTAGTTTCTAGTCATAGCTTCTACTAAACTACTCTCAGGTCCTTAATGACATGATGTGGAGATTTTCCTAAAATGAACACTGACTTTAGGATAAAAATCTATCGCGTGACTGTCACACAAATAGGACGCTATGAACCATAAAACCAGAGGCAGAACACTTTAAACTCTGGTACCGTATGTACTACACTGCAGCTTTTAGTTTTAAATCACAATTTGAATTGGAAATCGATTAACTATTCAACCCTACCTTTAAGTGAGAAGAACTATTGGGGAAAGGCCACTGCTTAGAAAATCAGTAAAGTCTATGTTGGAACATTCATGTGTTGGTAAAGGCGGCTCTACGACTGAAACCTGAGACACAATCAAAGTAAGTAGAAGAATTCTCCGGCGTGTTTCTTTGTCAGAATGTCTCGGCAAGTAATTCAACTCTCTGATGTCCCCAAAATCAACTAGAAAATATTTTTCTGTCTCTTGTTTAGCAACTTGAAAAATTATCTGAAAAGTCACAGAATCTTTTTTGTTGTTAAACGGAATGAGGAGAACGTTACAACAACACTGACAGCACTGACAGAAGACACACAAATAAAACAAGAAAGGAGAACTTTTCGTTGCACCCACTGCTGTTTATGTCCTGATTGGTTTATGACAGCGTTACAATCACAGGCAAAGAAATAATCCAGCTTATTAATTTGAGTATAAAAGCAGAAACCTGGTTGATTTGCACATGGAAACAAAGCCAGAGCAACAAATCATTTAGTCATGCAACCTTGAACCACACCCAGTCAACTTACACAAAAGTACTTTAGACAAAGATGGCATTCAATCACCGCCACCACAACAACAGAAAGCGACTACATCCTCCACAAAGCGCACACACATCATTGAGGCGTCGCTGCTGTGCTGAGAGAAAATACCTGAACTGCTGAACTGGAAGGCACTGTGCTGTGACGGCGGACTCATTACTCCGCTGTACTGCCCGCCTACACTTCCCATCATGCCCTGGCTAGCCAGATGATGGCTGGGGGAGAGAGGGGAGGAAAAGGGGCTGGAGGAGCCGGGATGAGGAGGAGGAGGTGGAGGAGAGTGCAGGCCTGTACCGTAGCTGGAAGCCGGGTAGGGGAACTGTTGTGAGTTGCCCTGCGGGAGCCGTGGGTTGGTGCCCCCCATGGGCATCGGCGTGGGAGCGGCCCCCCCGCTGGGCATGTTGGGCGGCATGTTGATGCCCTGAGTCCGCATCATCATGGCACGCTGCTGATGCACGTGTTGCTGCTGCTGCTGGCGCTGACGTAAGTGGTTGCTGAGGTACTCGCGCTGACGCTGCGCCAGCATCTGGGCGTTGAGGGTTCCCTGCAGGACCAAACACACAATCAGCCGAATGGTAATAATCTACCCGAGAAACAGAGATCTTGTTCACAAGTACGACTGATGCTGAGAATATTTCATAGGAAGTGTGAGGGTAGTGAGTCTGTGCTTCTAAATGTAAGTAGAAAGACATTAGAGAGAAAGAGGCTGACCTGGTTTGGTACATTAGACCTTAGAGGTAGATTCATATTGGACACTCCACCCATCTGGTTCACCACTGGCTGACGGTTCTAGACAACAGACAGCAAACAAACAGTCACGTTTTCAGTATAAAATTCCTGCGTAACAGCATACATTTAGTTATTAAAAATATGATGTGCTCGTTTTGATTTTGAGGTTTTAATACTTTATGAGAAATTGTAAAATCATCAGCTGTCGCTCCACTTGGTGTCACAGTGTTGTAGTCAGTTGATTTTGTCATATTAGTGAAAAATGCTTTTAGTGCAGGAGTTTGAAGGGCAGCAGTGCTGTGCTGATATACATGCATGTACGAGACACAACAGACAGGTAATGGCATCTTGCTCATAACCCTAAAGCCAACTTGAGTTAAATCAAAACCTAAAGCACCAACACTGACATGTTTGTTTAAATATCTGGTACAACAGCATGTTTGCTTCAGATGGGTTTTTGGACGATTGGCACATTTTCTAAGTTGCTTCACATTTTGTGCTTTTGATTGTAAAGACTTGATGTCAGGACCATTTATTTAGATTTTGAACTGAGAAAGTGGAAGTGTAAATGTCATTTCTCACACGTGAATGGACAGTTTATTACTGCTATTATAGTGGATATTCCAAAGCTGCCTTCCCTCAACTCTCCACCAGGTGGCAGCCTGGACCTAAACATTTCCCCAGTTTCCAGTAGAGAATTATTTCATCTCTACATTTCCGGATGAGCTGAATAAACACCAAATATCTAGGTATGAGCACACTTTCAAAACAAAGACAAAAAAGGGGGAAAACACGTACTTAGAAATCAAAAGCATGTATCAGTACAAATAAATTCCAAAAACGTAAAGGTGCTGCACATGTAATCAGACAACAGGAACATTATGGGCTGTTCAAAGAGGCGCTCCACTGTATGAACAGCCAGTCACATAAGGTGCAGTCGATGTATGCAATCATTTCTGAGTGACCACATGAATCTGTGTGTGTCTATTTGGTGTGTTCATTGTTAAGTGTCTCGGCAGCAGGGAATTGCTGATGAAGCCAGAAATCTGAAACACGTTTGTTCCTTTCTCTCTGCTGCTGTTTGAACCCAGTGAACCCTGCTGGCCCGCCTGCCTGCTCCGCTCTATCTCTCACAATTAAAATAATAATAATAAAAAAAAAACAATTATATATATATATATATATATATGTGTGTGTGTGTGTGTGAAAATACTTTTGTATAAAAATATATATTTCAGGTGGTCTGGGCTAATTTTCAACAAAAAACAGGCTGTGATTAAAAAGATCTTGTTTTATTGTAATGAGGCTTGACACTTGAACAAAAGGTTGAAAACAAAGAAGCCTGTCGTGGCAAGATGAGAGACAACATTTTCTGTAAATTTTTGTGTGTACAGGGACAAAGAGATAAGAATTGCATTTATGATCTTACGCAGGCATTAATAAGGAAACAGCCTCACCATAAACATCTGTCATTATCTGTATCAGCTAAAAATAAAGCTACTGATACATGATTTAACAGAAAAACATTCTTCTCTACGCTGCACTGTGTGATTTTGGACCTTGACAACTTCATCACAAGGTTTCAGCCAGGGTTCATTTTGTGATAATTAGAATACAGCTTGTCACTTTGCTTTTATTGTGACAAAACAGGATGAGAAGTTAGTGGAACAGCATTCATTCCCATTGACCTAGAATCTGTGAAATTGTTGTGTTTACAAACGCTGAATACCAGCGACACTAAAGTCACTGAATCTTTTGTTTTACTTTAGATGAAAGTTTTTTTTTTAAAATGTGATGTTCTTTTGCGACAGGCGTCACCTCAGCACAAAACTGTCCCTTTTCTAAATACTGAAAGCCGGTTGGCGTCCCGGTGGGGGCGCCGGCATCTTTCTGCGAGGAGCTTGGAGACAGTTTTGCAAAGGGATGAGCCATATCAGCATTTATAACAGCTCACACTGAGCAGAAGTACAGCACCCACCATAGCTACTGGCACCCCTGGTTAAGATGTGTTCTGTAGCTTCTAGTAAACTCAGTTTTCTTCTAAATAATACAGGAAAATTCAACCTATAATTCAAATGCATTTATTCAGTGTGAAAAAAATCCCACATTAAAAAATAATTCTTCTACATTAAATCATGTGAGCCACAATTATCAGCACCCTGGATGTTAATACTTTGTTCAAACCCCTTTTGCCAAAAAATCATTTGAGTTGAGTTGAAGGTTACATTTTTCTACAACATCAGTGTGAGAGGATGCTGCTGCAATAAAAACTGAATTTATTTTAAGGCTTTTAACACATCTTAACCAATAATTATGGCGGGCGCTGTAAAGCCACGCTGAGTTTGAACATAGTTTGACTTTGAAAGTTTAAATGTGAATTTGGCTTTAATGAGCAGCAGCAAACAGCACAGTGCCAATCTTTCATAATAGCTAGTTTAAAATAACCTTCCTGCTGAGTAGTAAATAGTATTTCCTGTTTCTGCACGAGTACCGTTAGCCACTACATAACCCGCACATGACTCACACAATATCAAATAAAATATCAGGTGCCACCCACCAGCTGGCTCTGGAGTCTGTGCTGCAGCTGGAGCCTCAGGTTGTTGGGCTGAGAGGGGACAATTGGACCAGGCCCCCCCGGCCTCATGCCAGCTGGCCTGGGTCCCGCACCACCAGCCATCCTCATCATTGGGGGGTAGCCCACTGGTGCCATTCTTTGAGGCCCCATGTGGCCGCCCATCGAGGGGCCGTGGTAGCTGCCATCAGGAGGCATGCTGCCGTAACCCGGCTGGCCACTGTAGTGCTGACTGTAGAGGGGAGGCTTCATGCTGGCCGCTGGGTCCAAAGAGCCAAGGTACTGGTCCTGGTCTGACAGAGGACCCTGCAGGGTGGCGACAGACAGAAAACATCAGTTTAAAGGAAGCTGCAGTGTTTTCCAGGTAGGATGGAGGCGTAGTGGATCAGTGCTAATGCCTTCAAGTCCTAAAGAGGTTATCCAAGATTTTATAAAATACAGAGCATAAAAGCAACCTGATGAACTCTCTGAACCCCCAAGTAGTTTCTGGATGCTTTTGGACCCACTGTGAGCTCATTTCTTACTGCTATATAAAGTCCTTCACCTCCGTGGAAACTGCAGAGCCATGACTAGAAGTAAAGAGACTCAGAAATGTCTTTGTGCAGAATGACAAAGTTGTAACGCCATGAAACTAAAAAATAGAAAAAAAAATTAAAGTTTAATTTCTTAGATTATTAAAATTGATAAAATTTGGAATCAACATTTGCAGCGTTTTTCCAAGTGTCCACGGTTGTGGAAAAAAAATCGTGTCCCTACAAGCTATAAATATTTTACTTCATACATTTTGTCACGTCGCCTGCAGTTCAGGCAAACAGCCCCAGAATCTCTGTCATGTAAATGTTAGCTGCAGGTGGATCGATCTGCTCTGTTGTACAGAGGTACACAGAACTTTTTTCTTTTTTCGGTTCAGTTTATTTTTTGGCAAATTTGCTGAAATAGTTAAATTTTAAGCTGAGATTTGCTTCAGTTTTTAAAACAAAACTGTAAGGTACAAGTTTAGGGACTGCTGAAAAGTTGCAAATCTGACTATTGTTTCAGTTTTTACAGGTTCTGGCTCTGAGAAATGGTATAATTCTGGTGTTTGGAGATGAGGTGCCTTTTAAAATTGGGTTTTGGTGTTAAATGTTGGCACAAACACTTTTGAATACATTGAATATTTCCCCGTTTCCAGCCATGGTGACTCGAAAGGTCAGTCTGAAGGAGCTCACCTGTCCTGCCAGCGTAGGGATTCCCAACATCTTATCAATCTCCTCCAGACCCTCGTAGTCCTTCAGCACTGAGCACAACTGGTTCAGCAGAGCCCCTTCATCTGGCTGGCCCTCAGGCGCGGTGCCACAGCACCCCATCCCGTCCTCCTGGGGGACGCCGTACGGTGGCCTGGAAAGCAACTTGGTATTATTGTCAGACTCAGGTAAACCGCTGACTTTTCCTTTACGTTTTATGGTTGAATGAACGCCGTACCTGCTTTGGTTTCCATAATGATCCATCATCATTCGGTCTGGCCACGGAGCAGTCTGATTGGGTGGAGCTTGTTGCAGGAAGACATAAAGTATGAGTATGAGTGAAAGATTTGATAAGAGTTGATGTCAGTTTTTGTTTTTCTGTTTCTTCTCACCATTGCCCATCATCTGCATGTTGACCATGGCTCTGGATCCAGATGGACCACCACCTCTTGTTGGTAGTGCAGCATTCATGTTGGGGACCATGCGACCAGGACCAACTCCCTGGCCCATCATCGGCCCCGCAGTGGCCCCCATGGGCCCCTGGGGACCCCAACCTTGCTGCACGGAGGCCCGCATACCTGGGTTGCAGGGAAACAGAAATATTCTGTCATTTTATAGACCCAGAGTTATTTCACACAATAACATTCAAAAGAAATGCAATTAAATATTATTACTCTGTACTTTAAAATCCACCTGCTGGTTGGAAAGGTGTGCTATCATAAAAAACAAAACAAAAAAACCCTAAACATAATTATGACCCCTTTTACTGGAGCCAGAAACGGTAAAAACAGAAAGAACCATCAGACCGTCAACTTTCTGACAGCCCTTGAACTGTAGGGAAACTAATCCAAATATAAGCTTATAATTGGGATATTTTATCAAAATTCACTGTGTTCTAAATGTCTCATTTAAAAAAAAAATCACAAAAAATAAACTGTTTGCACACTAACTAACTAACTTTTCTAAAAAGCTAAAAATTCTGCACTACTCAGTGCAACCAAGAACCCAATAGTGAAAAAAAAAGAACCCAATAGTGACCAACAGCTACATGAGAAAAGTTTCAGGACTTTTATACAGATCTGACTGGAGACAAGTATGAAAACTAATTAAAATCTTTGCAGTTAAAAATATCTAGAATCACAATTTGGGCACAATTTGGAAAAATGTATATTTTGATTCCAGATGTTTTCATTATTTTGTAAAATACACAATAAAAGAGATTCAACTTTAGTTTATTTTTTTCTGTTCTTTTTATTATTATTTTTTTTACGTTTTATGGCACTATAACTCAGTCATACTGCACAAAAGATATGTTTTAGGTCTTTCTACTTCCAGCCATGATTGTTCTGTTTCCACGGAGGTGCAGGATTTTATATTGCAGTGAAAAATGAGCCCAAAGGGAGTAAAAACCACCAAGAACCTGCTAAAGGTTCAGAGGGTTAACTATGAGGATCTGTCAGAAATAAAACTCCACGCGAACATCAACTTTTACTTTATTAAATTGGACAAAAAAAATGGTGAGATCCCTTTTGTGGCAACAGCAAGAACTAAATGAAACAGTTCAAGATAGAACAGCACCAGAAATACAATATTTGGCAGGATGTTATAGTTCTTGTTCTGCCTCACCTGGGTTGGCCATCGCAGCCTGGTTGGCCATGCCGGCATGGGTTCCCATCATGCTTTGCTGCTGTTGCTGCTGCAGTAGGGAGTAAGGGCTGTTGTTCCTGTGCTGAGAAGGGAAAGGCCTGGTGGTGCTGGGACTGGGACCGACACCGCTGTCCAGAGACATGCTCCTGATTGGAGGAGCACCCTGACTCGACTGGCCCGGCCGAGCACCATTAAAGCCTGCTGGGAGGAAAACAGGTGTTTCTTACTTATAAGGTACTATTCATATGGTAGGAATATAATTTAATGAAGTTATCCACATGGTCCCAGAAATTATGCTCAATTTCGAACATTTCTAAGATTCAGAAATCATCCAAATGAGTCCAACAGAAACACAGCGTTGCAGACGTACTTGCAGGGCAGATGGGTGGGAAGGTTCTGTGCTGGTTGGGAGAGCTGCTGCTGCTGCTGCTGTCAGTCATCTGCAGGATGTCACTGATGATGGTCTGTTTGTCCACAGAGGAGCCAGGGGCCACAGAGGAAGAGGAGGATGAAGAGGAGGCCACACCTCTGGCTGGCGGCTGACTGGGGAACAGCTGCTGCTGCTGCTGCTGCTGCTGCTGCTGCTGCTGCTGACTGCCACTTTGCAGGTCCTCCAGCAGGTCCTCCAGCTCACTGGTCTGAGATCAGCCACAAAAGAATGAAACAGCAGGATTAGAAGATGAATAGTTCCTAGAATAACATGGCAGAAATAGCAGGACTGGATTATATTTAAACTAGGTGGCTATGTATACTTTCATATTGAAGTTTTAATCAAATTTAGGGAGTTCTCTCTGGAAATTTAAGGATGAAAAATGTGCAGGCTTCACAGCAACACATGACACTGTGCTGTGGTGATCCAATGGTGGTAACCTGAACCCTTGTAAAAATGTGGTACATGATTAAAACATATTATTTGAACCCAGATCACATCAAAAACGTGTCACTTTTCATGTGATCCTTAATTTGCACATGCAATACTGTTATGATCATAGAAACCTACGGGACAACCTGATGTATTTAAATTATATTCTTGCTTTTGAAGATGTTTTTGAAGCAGGAACCAGGCTCTCTGAGGTGATGAAATGTTTCTGGCTGACAAAGAAACGGGTACAGCTCAGGTACAAACATCTGAAACATCTCAAGTGTATTTGGAGAGTTTCAGGTGTTTGAGCAGATTCCCTACAAAGGAATTGTCAGATCTGTCTTATTGTTTACGTCATATAAAATATACATAAAACAGCAGAGAAAAGCTCCTGTTTGTCTTGTTTAATGATGGAAGCAGACAACACAGAAGATGTAAATAACAAGTAATGTAAATGTTAAAGGCTAATGTTCACTTCTGATGACAACTTTGAGAGAAATGGAAACCCCCGTCACTAATACAGTGTAACTTAACCCAGCAACACACACACACACACACACACACACACACACTAACAGGGATGGTTTCCTCCGGCCGTTTGGCTGATGAATAGAGGAGGAGCTAAAAATAAACTGCCGGCACTAATGAGGTCATGTGTGATATACAGTATGACACACAGTCACAGCTCTGTCTAACACACACACAATGTGGCCGCGTACAAAAAGCAACATTTCAAACGCAAATGTCCTCCCAGTAAATCCTTCTCCTCCTTTGCACAGGTGAACAACCTACATTTTGGTGTATTCAGTGGATTAAGCATCAGCCGGCCAGTGTTCCTCCTCTATCACTATTTTACAAACATGCAGTTGTGCCTATTGTTGCCCGTCGTGTGCCAGTTTCTACATATAACAAAATACATAAATGAAACTCATAGCACTCTAACTTTAGCTTTTAATGCGAGCAAAGCAGCATGACACCAGCACAGCAGATTGCTGTGGTCTTGTACTCTGCACAGTAGCAGTGAGCACCAAACATAACTTTGATATGCAGTCTCATTTATCATGTCTGGTTCTGTGTCAGACACCTATCTAGAAATCTATGATTTGCATTGTAGAAACAGTATGGACAGTGCAAAAGTTTTCCGACATTGTTATAGTTTGCTACAGGTGCTACTAGATGATTTAGATGCAATTAAAAGCACTCTGTATTGTAGTTATTTGGAAATATGAAGATTAATTGTGCATGTACATAACATCACATTCTAGCTTATATATAGATGACTCTATATAGATGTATTGACTGCTTTCTGATCTGTATTATCTTTCTCCCAGGCTCTTGGTTGTGTTCCTCAAGCAGGTTTTGCAGTGTGGCTGGCTACAAAGTCCTGCTGGGGGAAGCTGCTGCCATCTGCTTGGTTTGTACCAATGTTTAGGAGTTGGTATAAGTCAAAGCACCATCTCCATGAATAGCAGGACCCAAGGTTTCCCAGCAGGACACGGCATTTTAATAAGAGGATCAATGCTGTTTACCTCCCCTGGTTTTACATCTTACATACGTTGGAAGCCTATTTTTTGTGTTTTGTGTATTGATTAAACTGAGGTACCAATAGTCATGTAGCTCAAACTGCTTCCATGTGAGCTACACATAATGAACTTTTGCCTCACAGCGCACACACATTGCTAAGCTAGAACATCATCATAGTTACAATGGGCTGAATCTCTGTCAAAAAGGCACCTTCCTGGCACCATCAAAGCTTCACCTTGTTCTACAAACCAGATCCTTCCTGGATGGGAGCCTTTGAATGCCCTCCTCCTCTCCGGCAGCAGCCTCCACTGCCCCGGAGGCACAACTGCTGGTAGGAAGGTCACCTTTGTCCTACAGACTGAACCTCAGCCATCATCATGAAAGCTCCTTCCTGGAACTGACTAACTATGTCGAAGCACCTGCACTTTCAATAAGCATGACTGCTCTCTGAACCGGCTCCACTTTGCTGTGTTTTAACACCACTGACTGTGTGACGGAGCCACAGCACTGAAAGCATTATTGTCTTTGGCATTAATACTTGCTTACCACTGAAAGCCACTTAATGTAAATGTGCGCAAATGACAACATTTTAAACAGAGGATATAAAAACGCTCTAGAGATTCGTCTCTGGTGGCTTCCATTAGCTGAAACTAGAGCTGCAAATGCTTTTGCTGAAGGAGAACTAAGAGAAAATTAATCAGCAGCTACTATGAAAAAATAACTCCTAGGTTAGTTATTTAATTAAGCAAAAATGACAAAGATTTGATTAATTTTATGCTCTTAAATTTGCCTGACAACAAATTCAAGAACTGTTCAACTGTTGCTTCGTGTCAACTTGAGATAAAGGTTATTTAGGTTTATTTATTAAAGGTTATTTTTTTCTGTTTTCCATCTTTTATAGACCAAATGAATAATTAATTATTCAAAAATAATCAAAAGATTTCTCAACTTAATATGAAAATTATCAACAGCTGCAGGCTTACATGAGATTTAAATCTGCAATGAAGTGACATAAATTTCAAATATAAACCGCAGAATGTTGGTCAAAGGGTTTAAAAACATGACTTTCTGATGAGGTCTAGTCGATAGATGCTTGGTTCAGAGAAACATGTCAGATGGACATCTTGGACAAATAAAACCAGAACAATCACTATCTTTGGTGAACCTACAACAACATAGAGTTAAAATAAAAGCTTGTATCAGTCGTTTGTCTCTATACATTTGAGTCTTTTACTGTATAGAATTGCAGTACTGCTCTTCGACTTCAATTACCCCACTGAGGACCATTAAAGTTCATTTATCCCTCATCCTCTCCTCTCTGCTGCTCTGTTCGCCTTCTCTTCATCCTCCTCATCACTCTCTTTGTCCTTACAGTGATCCTCCAATCCTCAGTCTATTTTCTCTAAATGGTAGAGAGGTCCTTCTTCACTTCCTCCTCTTCAGTTTCCACTCCCTGCCTCATCATTAGATCTCCATTCCAGTTCTTGTTGGTTTACCAGTATTTTAACTGATGACCTGTCTTCTTTCTTTCTCCCAGGCTTACATCTAGGGCTGCAACTAACAATCACTTTCATTGTCTGTCAATTATTTTATTGGTGTTTGTTCGATAAAATGCCAGAAAATGCTGGAAAACATCGATCGGTGTTTCCAAAAGCCAAAGACAAATGCCTTGTTTTTGCAACAACAACAACAACAGATATTAAGTTTGCTTCCTCGACCAGTAAATGAACCATAAAACATTCAACCTTAACAAGCTGGAATCAGAGAGTTCAGAGAGTTTTTCTTTAAAAAACTACTCAGACTGATGAATCGATTATCAGAATAGTGAGTGATCAATGTAACTGTTGACATCTAACTGATAAACCATGGAGGCTCTTCATACAGCAGGTGATGGAAGCAGCTGCAGAAGAACTGGTGGAGAAGCAGCTGCCTACTGACCGATGCCAAACATCATCTCCTGCTCTTCTGGGAGGTTTGTGCACACACACGTATTTTTAAACACACAGACACACTGTATATGCAGCCACACACACCTAAAGAAATGCACACAAACACACCCACATATATGCTGAGCTACAACAACACAACTCCTCTGCTGTTCCTGTAAGATGTGCTTCAAATACAGCGCACAAACTTTCTCACTGTAGCTCATAGCTGCACACATATGACCTGTAAGGCACATACACTGACTCACACATGCTTAAGCCTTCAAACAGCCCTCCTCTGCCCGCCTTGCCGGGGCATCTTGTGTTTCTGGGAGTGTGGGGGACAAGTTGCCACTGGCTGCCTAAGAGCTGCCTAAAGAGGAACTCAACACACATCTGACAGAAGCACACCGAGCATCAGCTACTCTCCTTCTCACTTGGAGGTGTTTATAGAAGCTGTTAAATGCATCCATATGTCCATTTGTTAAGCAGACAAATTCCTTCAATATTTTTATTTGCTAAGAAGACAGAGTTACCATCATGTAATCTGTCTGCCCCGAACACAAGACATCTCAGTTACACAGTGATTTCAATACCTCTTGGATAATCCATATTGTGAGCCATGTGAGTGCTGTGGCTGAATGTCTATTATCATCTGCTGTACTGTAGTCTTCACTAAATAATCATGCTATCAATCTAAACTGTAGCATGTCATATATTTAAATCAATTTTGCTATATTTAAGGTTTCATATGGTGAAAATTCATTTTCATTGTGTTTGTGATCGTTATAAACTTTGAGATCAAAAGTAAATCTGTTAAGATATGCATACATTTACTTCTATCATTTCACAAGCGCCCCACGAGATAAGCTCACAGCTTTACAAGTCAACAGGAACTTTACTCAAGATGGTACCAGCTAACAAACCGATGGTCATCAAGCTCAGACTTTGTAGAACCCCGCTCTAACTACTTCCAATATTCAGAACGAGCAGCTGCCTCACAGTCGACAGGTTTGTTCAGTTTCTAGAGCTGCTACTGCTAACTCTGAAATGTCCCAGTCACAAGCAAAGCTCACCAAATGAACACAAGACTCCATCCCTCCACAACAACAGGAAGATCCTTACTGTGCAGCTAATGTGGCTAACGGTACCATTAGCTTTGATCGTCTGCCAACAGGCCAGAGCTCCGTGGAAGCTGTAAATGTGAGGGACATTCAGGGATCGTGGATGCTTTGAGACGGTTTGAAGCCAGTAGATGAAGACATGGTGGGTCACTGTATTTTCACCTGCTGTGCTTCAACTTCAACTGCTTTATAAATGTGTTTCTCTCCTGCTCCCGGTGTTCATATATACTGCATTCAAATACAAAATTAAATATTGACTTTTCTTTTTGTTTTGTCAGACAGTAGGACAAACATGAAATACTGACTGAAATGCAACCTATGTGTCACCTTAGAGTCCTTCTGCTGTTCTGCTTCGCTAAGCTTCTGATTTTATAACTGCAACATGGGCAGACAAGGAGGGTGCTGCTGGTGACACTGGTGTCCGGGGAAGGGGAGGGTCCACTCACACTGGTTGGGCTCATTGGTTTGGCCATATTCCCAGTTGGTGAGTTGGGAGGGCTGCATCTTTTAACGGTGTTGTTTTGATTTTCCACCAGTCCAATACCCACAAATATTTAACTCCCTTTTATACAAATCACACAACCCTTACTTTTAAACAGCTGGACACGGTTAAACACTGACCTGGTCTGCCATATGAAAGCCTGCTTCCTGTTTCTCCATCTTTATGTTCGACAGCTTCAGTCCATCACTAGGTTCCATCTTAATGGCTTTATCCAGGATGCCATTATCATCCCTGTCCAGAAGATAGCGAAGCAAAGCATTGTCCTTCTTTTTCGGGCTCTCTGGTTCCTGTTTGGAGCAGAGTTCACCCAGAGCGGCCATGCTGTCCCCCGAGGCCGACTCTGGACCAATAGGGTCTTTTCCAGTCGCCTCAGCTGTTAACTTGGCCAACTCCACAGGTGAGGTACTGTTCTGCAGCAACCTGTGGAGAATTTTGTGTTTCTCCTTTAATGAGGTGGAGTGGTTGTTATGTCCTGCCCCACCAACACCACCCAGCTGGTCCTTACAGTTCTGGTCATCCCCCAGGGGCCCCGGTGGTGAGCAAGGGTCCGAGGGTTCCAACTTGGTGGTGAGGAGCTGGAGCAGCTTGGTGTGACCTTTGGTGTTCAAAAGGCGGTTTGGGGCATCGCCAAGGTCACCCAGGCTTCCATTATCTCCAAAGCTCTCACGGTCACCATCTTTGCCCTCCCCCTGGTCGCCCTCCTGGTTCTGGGATGACAACAAGTCTTGCTGCTCCTCAAAAGCTCCAAATAAATCAGCATCTAAACTGGGATTGTTCTTGGCTAGTTGGCCACCAGTGTTGGTGATGTGAAGGGGGCTCTGAAGAGCAACTGGTTTTCTGTCAGGTGACTCTGGATGCTGTCCCTCAGTGAGTCCCTGGGAAATCCTGTGGCCCTGGCTCAGAGCCTGCAGAGCACTGAGGGAGTTGAACCCAAGGCTGTTTCCTGTGCTGCTGCATACCGATGCTGGCGAGTGGAGGCTGGCTGCTGGAGAGAAAGGCCCAGGAAGATGCTGGGGGATGTGGGGGCTACCACAACCACTGCTGCTAGCTGCCGTGCTGGGGCTCTGACGATGGCGAGGAGACATCATGGCTCCCTGGGCCCCTGAGGTGACACTCGGGCTTCCCTGGGCTGAAGGGCTGCCCAGCTTGAGTGCATGGCAGCTTCCCTGAGGCGTGGGCGCCCGTCCAGATATAGGCCCAAAACCACGTCCAGTGGTGCTGGAGGCTGTTGTGGAGTGGAGGGTGTTGCTGGTGACACTGGCGTCTGGTGAAGGGGAGGGTCCGCTCACACTGGTTGGGGTCATTGGTTTGGCCATGCCCTGGCTGCTAGGTATGTCTGCAGTCATGCCTCCTGAGTTTTCCCTGGAATGAGAAGAAAACAGACCCAGTTCAGTGGACTGCTGGCTATATACAGACAAGTCACATGTGTTAGAGTGTGTATGAAGTGCGACTATGGTTTTAGTTTTAGTTGTTAGCCAGAGTTCCCTGAGAAGCTATAGCTTCACAAAACAAAATTAAATATAAACCTTAGCTGTTTGTACACTATCATAATGTGCATGAAACAGAAACAGAGAAACATCTGAGATCAAGAAATCCATTACAGTCAAATAAAATCCACTTCAGTGGGTAGTATACCACTCATGACTATTCAGAGCAATATTATTGTTTCCTCCTTCCTTCTTGCACTCATATTTTGTCGTCAGTAAAATCCTCTAAAACGTGTTTCATCATGATGTAAACTTTATATAAAATATATCTACATATTCTTTGAACATCCTTTATTGTCATTTCTATGACAACCGTTGCCAGTACTTGTTTTATTTGTACTAATCTGGACACTTTTTCTGGCGTCACTTGTTTTCTTGAATGGTTGACACAAGTCATTTCTGTCAACCATTTACCGTCATCATCCTGACAATGAATCAAAATGACGGTGCATCATACACCTTGCCCTTTGTCATGTTAAACATTTGCTTGATGAAGACCTTGCAGGGTGAAAACGCTGCCTGCTGCTGATTGGTGTCGAAACTGTGCTTCATGTACTTTCCTGACAGACAAATCTACTGACTATCTGGTCCCAAATTGTGAACATTCTCAACTATGCCTTTATATCAAAGGTGAGAAATTAAAAAAAGACGCTGCCTAACCAGCGAGATTTGCGGTTTCTAAATGGACATGGTACAAATAGAAACTACTGTTTTTTAGATCAAGAATTTTCATTAATTTTTTTTTTCTTTTTTTGAAGAAATGACTATTGAAATTAAATGAAAATTTACCTTCGTCATTTCTGCAAATGTCTGTTTACAGTCGTAAACAGCAGTCTAAATTCAGTAAACAACACCCCATGTAAGGTTTGTATATGCCATAAAGTAAAACAAACAGAGCAGCTCTGCAGCAGTACACACAAGTGAAAAAACAAAAGCTGTAACAGAGAGACTTTTAAACATGGATCTCCGACAGCCCACCACCAAACACACAAAGCTCTCATTGTTGCTGAATGCTACAGCGATAATTTCGAATGTGGAACTTGTGGAAGTAAAAAGGCCAAGTTCTCGCCATTGATCCCCGAACGCTCTGGGTAACAGTCCTGGCATTGTTTCCTGACCGCTGTCCAAATCCTGACTGAACAGTCATATCAACACTTGGGTGCTGGCTCAGTCGCAGTCCTTCCCTGTGGTGGGAGGGAGGGATGGAGGTCCTGTAGACTGGGCTGGCTGGTAGTGCTTGTGTGAGTGTTGGTCATACATATGGTGGCCGTTCTGAATAACAGGCTCTTTGTTCCCTGTGGGCACTACAGTGTCCCCCTTCGTCCAAATCAAGAGGGAAACTATCAAGTCTGAGAGAGAATATGTGATAAACAAACAGACTGACGAGGCAAAGAAGAGGATCTTATTGTGTGATTAACATCACGTCTTCTTTCAGAATGAATAAAGTCAGTTTTGGGATAAAATCTGAAAGTGGTAAAAAGAACTTTGGACTTGGGTGGGCTTGAGCGGCAGGTACAGGACCAATCAGAAGACTGATTATCAAGAAATTATATAACTTGACTCCTCAAACCATGAGGATTGTACTGCATGTACAAAATGGTGGAGAGCTATGAAGGTTACTCAGGATGCACTAACGCAGGTTTATCAAGTCCCTCAATATGACTTGCAAGTTATTTTGCAAGAACTTAAATAACTTGCCTGTCAACTCTAGTATTGGAATTAGTAGAGCAAAAACCTAAACCTCACCTGAACTATCTGGAATTTAATACAGTAAATATTACATTTATTTGGTCAGACAATCTTATTTTAACAGAGAAAAGGTCCCCAATACTTTATTTTTGGCATGAAGAGGCACAAACTACTTGTGAACACCCCTGTGCTTTCAAAACTTCACCTCACCCGCCTAATGAAGGCTGTTCACTTTCATTTATGCAAAGTCGACTCCAAACTAACTCACATCATGTGAAAGAAGTCGTCAGTGTGGCTGCAGTTTGTTCAAACAGTCAACCAAAATATCAAGTTTAAATTTTGCTAACAGCAGTTTACATGTTACAGCTCAACAACCAACACCAGAGTCATTCAGAAAAAAGATGGTCGACCTAGAGTCTGTTCTTTTATTTCAGTATAAAATAACCAGGTTCAAATTATTTAATATTCTGTTAACAATACATTTTTATGTTTATTTCAACACACTTTAGGCTAATAAGGTTAGCAAGTAGAGTGCCTTGTGATTTTAGTCAGCCAAGATGTTCTTTGGTTCACTCCAGCCCTACAACATGAAACTTCTACATCTTTTTTTCTGTAAAGCTGTTAATAATGTTAGAATTTATGGACATGACGCAACAGAATAAGACCTCAAAGCACGTTAGACTTTTTCTGTTGAATAAGAAACAATCTTCACTTTTCTAATTTACAAAACAGACCAGGTCCTTTAGACTCATTACAATGTTTGTGTGGCAGAAAAAGAGGTGAAGGAAAAGAGGCTGTTACCTCTGCAGAATGTGCATGGACATATAGAGCTGCGGTTCGTTAGTGGCTGGTGATCGAACCAGTTTGCTCTTCGTGTGAGCTGAGACGATGGTGCCGTCTGCCAGGGAGAATCGGTAGAGAGGGCTGAGCGCATGGCCGTTCCTCAATACTGGAGGGACACAAACAGAAATGGAAAGTAATTTCTAAAAAACTCCCACCATCATTGTCACCACATGTAACTGAGAACCACTGCACAAAGCAGAATGCTGTTCTTCCCCCTCTAAAACCACAGCCGTAAAATTCACACTGAAAAATTCCAGCATGTAGTTTATATATTCTGATACTTTATCTTTCTAAATCCACGGAGCCTGACAAAGTTTAAACACTGATAATATTGTGTGCTGTTTGGAAATGGCTCCATTAGGATTACCTAAACATTTAAACACTGTGAGGAAAAACTGTTTTACCATCTTGCTGGTGCTTCTTGGCGAACGACATCTCCCCATCACTCTGCAGGTGAAACTTCTGGATGCAGCGTCGAACCAGGTCCTCCCAGCCTGGCTTCATAGACGCCCGCAGCAGACTAGTGTCCAGTGACGTTATCTTACCTGGACATGCAGAAAACAACATTGATGTTTACAGGTTACACGTAATATTTAATAGTTATGGAGTAAAAGAAATGATTAAAGCTAAATTGAAATCACCCCTTTAACAGCCTTTTCTAAGCTTTAGTACAACACCTAAAATTAAATGGTTACGTTTGAGGTAATTTACACTATATTTACTGTACAGGATGACAGCGAGCCCGTCTTAAAGTATGCTGGCAAACTACAGGACTCAAACAACATATTAAAAGCAGAACTTCTCCCACAAAACTTACCTTGAAGGTCCTGCCGTGTAGTGAAGCTCTCATACGACGGCATCACAGGCCTCTCTTTAACAGGGACTCTTCTCGCCACACAGATGAGACAAGACTGAAAATCTGCAGGTTTGAAGGTAAAAAATAAAAGGGTTAGAAGAATCTTTCACAAACACATCCTGCACCTACACAGGATGGGGATTACCATCTATCCAGGCATGTGGAGGAAAAGCTGTTACATAAAGCAACTATGTGATTTCAACTGTGATCAATATTTTTCCAGCCCTTCTGTGCGTGTTTATAGGTAAGTGTGAGCTCATACTGCCTCTCTTGGGTGGTCTTGTTTTGTCTCTGCAGAGCTTCAGCGTTTTTCCTCATTAAAAACGTAACTCTGAGTGTGAGGCAGCCCTGCCTAACACCATCTCTAGCTGTGCCCTCAGTGTTCATATACATCATTTAATTAAAGCCTCCATGAATGTAAAAACTGGAATTAGACATTATGGTAGAACAGCATTAAATTTTACAGAAGTAACTTATAAAATGGCTACCAAGTGTATCTCTAACCTCAACTGGGGCCTCATGCCTCCGACCCACATCATTTTCAAAATCCAGCTGCAACACAGCTTTAGCTTCCCTCAGTTTCCTCTTCCACAATCTCTGTGTCAGCCATAGCTTCACCTCAGCACCGAAATCAAACAGGACAACTGTGACCTCAGCCTCGACATCCGTGTCAAGACCACTCTGAGTCTGAGTCAATCCAAACATCACCCGAAGCCTCAGCCTCAACCTGCAGCCCTCAGCCTGCCCACCAGATACCCTCCTCCTGTCGGGGGAGAGATTGGCACAATATCTGGTTGTCAGACATCTAAAATTAGAGTGCCAGACAGATTCTTTTCCCTCGTGTGCATGTGTGTGTGATTAGATTAGATGGGAAGATGACAAAGTGCCACACACTAATTAGTCTCTCCCGGTGGATGGGAGGGAAAGTAGAGAGAAGTGGTGATGGAAGGAGGACAGGACACAGGAGATTGGGAGAGCTGGGCTGGAAAGAGTGATGGGGAAAGTGACAGAAAGTCAAGACTGGAAGAAAAAAAATAACGGTGGAAAAACACAGTGGAGTGGAAACTAGGGAAAAGACTAACAAACAGAGAGACACAGAGGTAACACAAGAGGCTCCAAATCAAGATAGTCAGAAAAAGTGATGAAACCAAGGATTGCAAACAGGAGGCCATAGAGAGAAAATGGAAAAGGAAAGGAGAGGGTGAACCAGAAAAACTGAGAACAGAGAAGGAAGTAAATACCAAGAGGTGTAGGAAGAGAGAAAAAGGAAGGCAGAGAAAGAAAGCAACAAAAAAAGAGATAAAAAAAATGAACAGGAAGAGAAAGAGTGACAAAGCTAGAGACTATACCTTCCCCCTCTTCTTTGATAGACTTGGGTTCAGAAACAGCAAAACACTGCATGGTCTCATACTTCTGTTGAGCCGCATCCTGCTGGTCGGAGGCCAGCCGGGCTTCACCGTCAACATGAGGGTTGACCAACATACGGCAGTTGAATGTGTGGCTGTTCCTGTTGGATGAATCGCTGCTGCGATGATTGACTAGAAGACAAAGAGCAAATACCAAAACAAAGAGGAGACATAAAAAGATGTCAGTGTAAGCATGGTAAATAAAACGATGGGGATCTTATGTACGTTCAACATTAACACTGTGACCTGAATCCTACATTATCACATTATTATTATTACAAACACAAACAGCAATAATAATCTAAAGTGATGTTTCAGTGGTCTGTCAGTGTGAGATTAGCATGATGTTACTGACTTGACACTTGGTTAACGTTGTGTACAGGTGAAGTGAGGCGACTCATCTTAAGACAAATGTAACGTTTGGAGAAAACACTGCAGCTAAAGACAGTTTAACGGTAATGTACTCTGAACTGTCACTGGTAAGCGTGTGCAGTGCTGAGGCTACCTAACTACAAGTAAAGCTCATTTAGCAAAGCAGGCAACATTGCTGACAATAAACTACCAGCTACAACCTACTCTATGCCTCTTGCTGTCAACAAAGCACAACTCTAAGTTTAGAAATAAAGCAAAGATTATCTTTCACTGCTGCCAAAATGTTAATGACCTCCAATCTGGCAGTCATCCATTTGCATTGGCTCCTCCTTCAGCCCACTTTCCAGTTTTCCAGTCAACTTTCTGTGCTTCTCACCCAGGCTCTTGGGCAGCAGGTTCTTGATGAACTCGGCGTGATCTCCAACGTGCAGCACGCTGTAGACGCTGGTGTTCATCAGCTCCTCCTGCTGATAGCGCAAATACTGGCTGACGTTCTCTGACACAAACACTATGTTGCCCTCCATGTTGACGACAAAGAAGAAGCCGTCCAGGGCCTGAGAATGGGAGAGGATGGCAGAGAGAAGTGGAAGAGAAGAAAAGAAAAGACAGCAAAGCAAACGTGAAAATTGACCAATTGAAAAATGGGGAGAAAAGAGCAGATTGGAGAGAGGAAAAAGAAAAAAGTGAAGGGAAGGGCAGAAGTGAAGGAAAGAAGGAACAAACAAGTTAGAAGGAGAGTAAAAGTGAAACTTGAGCTGCTCTTTCTCCATGTTGGGTTTCGCTACCTGCTAATGTAACTAAGGTTTTACATTTATTAACAGTTTGGCATGAGCAAATTTGTTTAATCTTTTTTTTTCCTGTCTTCACCTTTAAAGAGCAGAAGTGTTTTCTGACATATGTTTGCTACCAGAGAATAATGAGTCATCTTGCAGGAGCACATGCTACAACCTTGGATCTGTGTGGACATTTAATTTGTTATTTTTAGCGTGCCAGCCCCTTTAAAAATAAATCTGGGTGTTTTAAGATGATCTTAGTAGAAACAAAAAAAGTATGTCAATTACATCCTGAATAAAACACCATGGCCTAGTGCAGTGTGCTATTCCTCAAGGTATTGTAGCATGTCTACAGTGGCCATAATGTCTGCTGAGATGTGTGTGTGTGTGTGTGTGTGTGTGTCGGGGGGGGGTTCCATTCTTTCATTCCTGCCAACTCAGCATTTTCCACCTAAATGTACAGACTGGGATTTGTCCTTTAGCCGGCCCATGTCTGCACAGGCCTTCCACTGTGCGTCTGCCTGCTTATTATCCCAACACTGGTGTGGAATAGAATGGAACGGAATAGAATGGAAAGAGTCTTGGCTCGAACGCTGTTTATCTTTCAGACTCCTAGCAGACACTTCAGCTAATGTTGCTGCCGGTGAGCTCTATATATAGCCCCAGTATATATGTGCTGAGGCTCCTCCCCTCCTTTTCTAATCTGGCTTTTCACAGAGGTATTTATACCTCATTGGGTCCCATGTTATACGTCATCAGACACCCGTGCACACTCAAGTAGGCCTGATGACGGCATTGCCCTTAGTCAGGGGAACTCTTATCTCCCTGCGTCACCGTGCGCTGCCATGTACAGTCGGAACAATGCTACACCTGTTTGAAATGTGTTTCACAGAGCAACATGCATGAAACTTGCAGCTTTGCTAATAACAAATTACCCTTTCAAACATTTGCACTTTTCCCAATCACACCGACGTGATGATAAATCTCCGTAGTCATGCTCACATTATAGGAGATAACAGTGCTCTGTCCCTACTGGGAACATGTGATTAGCGCCTGTTCTGCAAAATGTTTCAGGTCACTAGTGTCAACAGAAATAATCATTCCTGGTGTCATGACTGCACTTTCAACTAGATTCTGTTTCAGGTCACTACTGCTGTGAGAGTGATAACACAGGCAGGCTAAAGTTAGGCTAAACGTACCTCCAGCATCATGGGCCCAAGAGCGTCTTTATCAATGACGCCCTGCCCCGTGGATGAGACGTCGGCCTTCTGCACCTCCTCAGCATCAGCTATTGGAGCCTTTTCTGTAACCGACAAGAAAAAAAAACATGAAAGCAAGGAGTTAAATTATTTACAATGTCTTAAGCAGGAAAAAAATCCCTTTATCATCAGCTTCATTATTATTTTAATTACCATACAATGAAAAAAACATTCCAAAATTTCACATGTTCTCTGAGGAACTGAATGCATGCATCACTCACGGTGTTTTAAATGATCTCAAAAGTTCTGGTCAAACATCACAGTGTCAGATTAAGTAACTTGTTTTCTGTATAACTCAGAACGTGTTTGTTTTCTTGGAAAACCATCTTGTCAGAACGAAGCGTTTGCTAAAGCTCTCCCTCTCACAGAGTATCTTCATTTCCCAGAAAACACTGACAGTGTTGTTTTTGTGATGATGAAGCCTTCAGGCAAACACACACCCACTCACAGTCAGACTTTGTGTTTTTTATGTACACGAGGACTTTTCATAGATTACATTCTCTGAGCTTGTCGTCGGCTTGCTGTAACGTTAACCTTACGCTTATATATAAACTATATGTGATGATGTGTAGGTTTAGAGTGTCTGGGGACAGCAGGTAGGACGACACCGACATTCTGTACATTTTACACTTTTATAGTCATATTAGAGGCCAGTCTCCTCTCTCCTCCCTGCCTGTACCACTGGACTGTTAAGCCTCCCATGGCCCCATTAGGCCACATAGCTGACATTCCTGTTGTGGGACCAGAGCTGTACAGAGTCATCAGCCCTTAAACCCTGTCACTGTGCAGCCTGGAGTGGCTCTGCAGAGAGTATTCAAGTAGTTTCTTTAAATCCATAAATATGGTGCACTGTATTTCACACGATCCGTTTTTTTGTTAAGTTTTAGAACCTAAATCCCCAATTTAATTCAAACAGACGACTGAGTGATACTGTGTACCGTATCCTGTGAGTCAATCTTACATAATCACAATGACCATCTATCAAGAAAACATCAAGGCAGAAACACTCTCGACTGGCACTCTAATTTGCATCTGAATGGCTTATTAGCAGGCTCGGTACTGTATATTAGTGCAGCCTGCGGTATTGACGAATGCACAGCTCATTAGAGCTAAATAACTTTATCACCTGCTTGCAGCTAAGAACAAAAAAGCCAATAACTTGACCAGTAGTTTCAATAATGAGAAAACCCTTGCAGTGACAATGTCTTTGTATTTTTTTTTCTTGCCTTGTTAACATGCCCATGTGGTGTTTTTTATATGCCTGAAAACACATGAAGAGCTAAACAAGCAGCCAATGCCACAGCTGAGCATTTCTACCTTGAAACTGCAGTGACAGTCTCAAACACTGAGATTCAGACAGTCAAGGTTTCACATGTACCAAACCTAAGGAACCGATTCTGTCAGCTTGCAGGGTGAAGCTTCCTATGTCAATATTGTTCCTCAGAATCGGCTTCCGGTTTGAAGGCGTATTGCTGAAATACTTCAATATTACATCCTGCCATGGAGCAGCAAAGAGCAGCATTACAGTGTTTTGAGTACAGTCACAGGAGAGCTGGTGTGCTTGAGCTGCAGCTCGGGGCAGAGTGGTTGGTGGAAATGTCACAGATCTGCCCTTTAAAGAGAAGCAGCAGCTTAGAGTTACAACTATTTGTTTGCAGGAAGGGGTTATTTTACAGAAAACCCTTTTAAACATGAAATATTGATGTAGAGAGGTGAGTTTTTAGTGGTTCAAATAATGACCAGAGAGTGAATTCTACCATAAACACAGCCACTGATGTAAAGTAGGCGACAAATCCTTAATAAATATATACATGTTTTTGACTATAAACAATGAAGGTTGTGTACTTATACACATTTTGCACACTCACTGTGGCACATATTGGCCTTGGTATAAATATAGTCCTCTCCATTAGCTGCAGCAAACTGGGCTGGAAAGAATGAATGCTTCCCTCCTTTGACTGCTCCACTCTGTTGTGGGAGGTAAAGTTTTCCACCTATCCATCCTCTACACCTTTTTATCGTGCTCATGGTAGTACTGACTAAAAAAATACCAGCGTGAAAGCCAGAGGTCTTCCTTGTCCTAAAACAATTATTCAGTCAATCGGCAGAAAACTAGCTACCAACGCTGTTAACAGACAATTATTCATGTCCAGCATGTCACTTCTGAAGCATAACAAGTCATAAATTCTCCTACTTTAGCTTTATAAACATACACAAATGAAGCTTTTCTCAGTTTCCACTGCAACCCTGCCAGGTAAAAATCTTTGTGTGTTTGATTGTTGGTTTGACTAAAACAGCAGTTTGATGATGTCAATTATACGACAGATGAATTAAAAAACAAAAAGAAAATTCACAATCATCACTTTGGACCAGCTGACAGCAAAAACACATTCTGTAGACAAACATTTCTATCTGCAAACCAGTATTACAATTTCACCTGTACTTGTAGATGTAGTCGTAGTTCTATGACCTAGAAAAGCTTTTTCCCCTTTGACAAGGTCTTCTGACTGGATATTACAGCTACAAAGGATTTTTTTATTTTTTAGCAAAGCACACAGAAAATGGATGAGACGACAGCAACAGCACAACAAGCACACACATGCAACACAAACACAGGTTTTCTATTCTATAATGTGAGGATGGACCAAAACACACAAACACACACAGAGACACCTGAAGCTTCAACACCAACACGTATACACGAGGAAAACACCATTTTCCTTTAACGTGTGGGTGTGCTCTCCTTCCACCAGACAACCTTTTTGTTCCGCACTTGAACTCATACATTATGTGTGAAACGGTCAGTTAAACACTCGCAGACAATAGTGAGCGTCTGAAGTCGGCCAGGCAGCTGTGTGACTATTATATGTACATGTGTCTGCTTATTCAGCTGTTGTTTTCAGACACAAACAGTGCAGCGACACATGGACACCAACTGGCTGACCACAGGAACAAAAGAGAAGAGGGAAAATATCTGTGATGGAGAGAAAGAAGAAACCAGCAAAAGAGAGAGGGCAAGAGGAAAGATGGACAGAGAGAGGAAAGGCATGAGGCTGTGAAGGAGAAATGAAAAATATGATAGGATAACAGAAAGAGGAAAGAGGAGAGAGGAGCAGAGAGTAAAGGCAAGGAAAGGAAAGGAAAGGAAAGGCAAGGAAAGGAAAGGCAAGGAAAGGAAAGGAAAGGAAAGGAAAGGAAAAGAAAGGAAAGGAAAGGAAAGGAAAGGAAAGGAAAGGAAAGGAAAGGAAAGGAAAGGAAAGGAAAGGAAAGGAAAGG